CTCCCCCTCCCTTCTGCTGGTGCGTTCCCAGAGAATGAGGGCATGACGTGCGCGTATGAATGGCCCTACGTACACGGCAATGTAGTGACGTTGGTCCTCTATGTAGACAATTCTGCTCTGACATTGCAAACAGTTGCACGTGACATGGTGAAAATTATTTAACACGACATACGTAGTTTATGTAAGTTGTCACTTGAACAGATTAATAAAACTAAAAAAAATAATGAGACGCAATAAGAGAATGTGAGTGTCTTTTTTCTATTTTTCTCCCATGAATTGGAACGAGATGTGGGCTAATGTGTCGACGTTTCGCATGCGTTCGTGTACCCGTTGTCAGCACGTCGAGCAGACGACCGCTGTGGAACGCTCCTACGCGTTCGCGCACTCATTGTGCTCATCTATTCTACCAGGTCTAAGCCAGCATTTCCAAACCATCCCGCAGCAACAGGCAGAAGATCACAAAATAGCGCTGGTCAACAAAGCAACGCCGCTCGCACGTCACCTCTTGGTCGGATGCCGGAGAGAGTGGGGAAGAGATTTGGCTTGCGAAGGCTACGGGGAGGAGCGGCAAGGGTTTCGAGCTCGCTTTCTCTCATCCTCGTTTCGCGCCGCTTCAAAAAACCTGTTTTCTCCGCTCGTGATGAACCGATAAGTAAAATTTTTGTGGCAAAATGTTCCTCATCGGACACCAAACAACTTCCACTATCTAACTAAAATTTGGTATGGGGCTTGGTGAGTGGGCCCTTTAGTATCAGACCATACAATATTGCTCCGGCTTTATTCCGGAGTGAAAGTGAACTCTTCAATATTTTTGTCGACCTATGCATGGGCTATAACTGCTACAGGTAAGATGCACTGCAATCAGCAATACGTCACAAAGCAGGATAAGGCAGGAGCGCTAACACTGCTAATCTGGAAGGCATGCATAATGCAATGCACGTTCCTGCTTTACAGTGTATTCCTTAAGGGGGGACGTGGCAAGTAAAACTAATTTTATTATTAATGTACTGTTTGTGATGAAATTTGGTGTGTGTATGTGGATGATTGTGAGGATTCCAAATATGAAAACCGTTTTCAAATACCTCTTGTACTTTTTGAGTTACAAGCATAATTATACTAATTAATGCTCTTCACACTTAAAGAGATAATTATTGCTAAATGAAATTATTTTTTCATATTATTATGTTCCCAAAGCATCAACTTGTGCAAAGAAGCTATTAGTTGATTTTTCTAGTTCTTGTAACCATAAATAAAATTTCCAAAACATGGATGTTGTTTTGCGCACACATCGCAGTAATTATAAAATGTGTTCTAAAAATTTTAAATGATGAGTAAGAAGAGAGATAAAGCTTTATTGCACTGCTAAAGGCCTCCTGAGCCTAGTGCAAAAAACGGAACGACTCTATCAGTCTTTGTTAGAAAATGACTGATGTTCTAGCGAAGGCACATAGGCGAAAATCAAGAGTTGAGAAAACTGACTTTGAAAGTTCACTCTTGTTTGGAAGTTCACAACATGCCTAAAACACTCAGAATCCTCCTGGGCAGTAATCCTGAGATGCTGTGGCCTTGGCCTCCGTAGAGCGCAACCCAGTTTTGTGCTTCTTTGTCGTGGAACAATGCGCCTTTTGAGCCCTCTTTACCCTTTTGGCATCCTTTTCGGCTGCTCGCCGCAAAGAGCAGTCTCCTGGATTGAAGCCCAGTTGAGCAGTGATCTCTTGCAGCGCACTCTTGCAGCCACCATTGAAACGGCAGACTGCATCTGCAACTGCACTTTCCACACTTCGAAGGGACGCGAACTGGCTCTTGGACTGGAGTGACCAAATGAGGCTGTTCATACTCTCCACAGCGTTCTGGGTTTTTCCCTGCGCACACCTTTCAAGGAGCTCTTTGTTCGAGAGGCGCTTGTAGATTGGCAGCAGTGCCACTCGCACGTGGGGGGGCAGTTTATGTTTGTGAGGCGGCAGCGGCTCTCCCTTGGCCAATGCCCGATTGTGCGGGCACCAGGAGTCAGTCCCACTTGGGCACAGGTCGTGGTGTGGATCCTGGTCTGTGGATGTTACATGGTAATAAGTGGCCATGATGGCCCTCTCCATGCCAGGAACATCGTTGGGGTGGCTCTTAATGGCCCAGCCATAATAATTCGTCAACTTCTTTATCAGGCCCTGCGTCAGCCGGCCTTTGCCACCCATGCTCAGTCCTCGGCCTTTGGATTTGTGCTCATCAAGAAGGTTGCGCAAGGAAGTGCCCATTCTTTTTTTCACATGGTTCACACACTCCTGTTTCTTAATCACCATGTAGCCATACACCTTGTCTTGCGTGAGGGCAAGGTACGTACGGCTGTCACCGTCGCAGAGCACATTGATGTATCGAAGCTTGTACTTGGTAAACGATCTTTCAAACATGATCCTAGCTGCTTCTACTTCCATTTGGCCTGCATTAGCATCGGTGTTCTTTGGCACTGTGGCTTGTGTTTCTCAAGCCACTCCTCATAGTTGTCGTCACCAGGCTTGGGGCCAACAGCACAGCCTTGGCAGTAGTTGGACAGGACACAGTGGTCCAAGACCAAGCCTGTGTACAGCTCGATTACACAGCCCACGCCAATATGACTTCTGTGCCCCCTCGTCATCCACGTGCCGTCGTAAATGACGTCAATGTTGCCTGGCACTCCTCCTAGGTCCTTGTAGATGTCATGCACCTTCTGTGCACTTTCTGCTTCAATGCGGGTGGCAGCTGATGTGGTGGCAGGGTGGCTGTACTTCCTTTGCAGTCTCTGGTAGGACTTGTGGTGCAGTGCTCGATGCGAAATGTCCATCGCAGAAAAAATGTCATTTATGGCAGATTGTTTTCTGCCAACTGACTGCACAGCCCTCAAAGCACGCACGTTTACCTCAAAGGGGTTCGTTTTTTGTTGCCCGGAGCACCTCGGGGACGACCACGCACTGTTTACTATGCCACAATTGTCACAAAAAAGTCCCATCCTCGCCGCGAGTCCAAGGCAGTGCGTAGTCTCGAGGCGTATCGACCCTTCGTCGCACTTGTTGCACTTTACTGACGAAAGCAGACCGTTCAGCATCTTCTTATTTACAATGAAGAATGTGGAGTCCTTACCGCCGTCATTTTCGTCGCAGCCTTCGTTCAGAAGCTCGAGCTTCCGCTTTGAAGCGGACTTCGATGCTACGGCATCCAAAACATCCCGCCTTGTCTGCGCCCGCTGCGTGATTTCTTCACTGCTCGGAATCTGGGCCGAAACTCGCGATAGAATGTTCGACGCGCGCACGCCCAGAGTTGCAACGGCTGCCGACGCGGTGCCACCGCAATCGGGTTCGCGAGAGCGTCCGTCACGGTCGACGGCATCCGGCGGTCTGACATACGACGATGTGGCACCTTCCACACTCTCGGCCTCACAACAATCAGCGAAGGGTCTGAGTAGAGGCTCCGTGACGCTTGAAGAGCATGCTCCGTCCGGAACTGCGACTGGGACGGCAGCCGCAGTCGTCTGCCCTTTGTTTCAAGCTTTCCGACGCTTGCCGTACTTGTGGACGCTCCGGAACTTTTTTTGCGACAACATAGCACCGCAGTATGAGCAAGCACTCAGAAGAGACCACCGATGTAAACAAAGCTTGGTAAAAAAAGCACGCGAACTATCACAAAAACAGCAAACTGGCAAAAAACGAAGCGCACGCCGGATGATTCTCGACACGGCGGCCGCAGATGCGCTCGCGCTTCCAAGGTTGCCAAGGTGCGCGGCGCAGCTTTGACCAGTAAGAGGTCGCGCCTGCTACCACGTGACCCGCGCAGCCAATTGCCGTTCTTCGTTTTCGTTTTTTTACTTGCTCTTCGCGCTTTTATTTTCACTCGGCGAAATACGAGACCGCGACCATCGGGAAGCCGGCTTTCTCCTCTTTCCAAAGCTACCAAAATGGCGGCCCACAGTCAACAACTTGGCGCGTTTGTGCGGCGTGAACAACACCGTTTCAGGGGCTTTTTTTTCGCACTTTTCGGCGACTGGCCTCGGCAAAAACACTATTTGCGGGATTTGCAGCGCACGTTTCGCTGTAATATTTTAGAACAAGGAAGTTGAAGGTCTGAAGATTACGAAAAAAAATAAATCAGAAAATCGCATATTTTGACCAAAATCGGCACTTTACTTGCCGCGCCCCCCCTTAAACAGCATCATAAAAAAGAAAAGGCTGTGGAGAAGAGATGCTGGTACTTTTCCTGAGTAGAGCTGTTAGCAAGTCTCTTTGTCATTACTATAGCAATTACAGATGCTTGTGCTCTGCCACAGTCCCGCACCTGCTTGCTGATCTATTCTGTCACTTGTACCACCTCTCCAGGAGCATGTGCCCATGAAGGCAGGCTAATGATTTTCACATGAACTCACACAGTGCCCCTGTGTGAAGTGCGTTCTCAGCCAAGAGCGAAAGGAGAGGAGAAAGCACACATGAAAGTGTGATGAGGAAAAGCAGGAGGCCGCACAGGAATAAGTTAGACCCCAACGCCCATGCTACCTGTTGGTCTTGGGTAAATATGTCGAGTCGACACGCCCGCACATCGTGTTAAGTAGGGGTTAAGATGGTGAAGTCAGTATTCTTGTGTATCTTACTCCATGCGCACTACATTCGATATTCCATTCATCATTTACACTGGAGTTACTTATGCTAGGAGAGACCCTGTTAGCCATGAACAGAAACGATCACTATCATGAACTGCGCGTGCTCATTTCATTCTCTTTTAGTTAATTCTGCATTGATCTCTCTGCAGAACGTGTGCAAAATGTCTGGCACGGGATGCAATAATTCCGATGGGCAAAATAATGGCAACAAGAGAGAGAAAAACAAACAGAAGACAGAAAAAGATGCAAAGAGAAGAGAAGACAGAAAAAGATGCAAAGAGAAGAGAAGTGACGGTGAGGAGGAAAAGAAGGAGGGGAACGTGTATTTTTCCAAATTTTCTTTTTCTGCTTTTTTATAATTGAAATAAACTGAGAAGTGACTCACCTTGATGAGGAGCTGTCCAGCGGGTGTCTGTGGGTTGCGGTAGGCATACAGCAACCACACACCAACGGCAACAACAAGCACCAGGATCATTATTACAGCAACCACCGTTCCAGAGCTGACGGCATGGGATGACGAGGAGCCGTCCGATGGCATGTCTGCAACGAAAGCCAAACACTGCCGTTCACAATGTGCCCTTCTATTAGGCCTGATGACATGCTACTTCTTCTTTTGACACAACAACTCAACCTCGTTATGAGCATTCACTGTGAGTATTATATGACATTACGCCGTCGCTGTAAATTTCAAGCTTAATGCAAAGAAAAAAATCTACAACAATGACTAGTGCTGTTGACGTCACATTTTTTTATGCTGCCTTCACATATCTAAACGGCTTTATGATGGATGCGCTGTTTCCATTCCGTGTCGTGACAATGTGTAAACGTTAGGCCTCTTTTGCACCATTAATGACTGATAACTGTAGAATGCTGAAAGTTGCTTTGAAGTGTGCATAGAGCACATTGATGGATAAAAAACGATAAACTAAGAAGTCTCCAAATTGTTCCTACCACAATAGTCAGTGACTTGCAATTCTCAAAAGTATTGTCAATGTTTGAAAAATATAACAGCACCTAAATTCATCTGTTAATAAGACACGAGAAAAATAGTTGCCAAAAAAAAAAAAGTATTTTGTAACAAGTGCATTTCAGAGGAGAAATTGTAAGCTTGCCAGTGACAAAGTGCTTTTCTCACCATCTTTTCCACTATGAGAGCTTGAAAATGATGATTATTTTGAGAATGTGGCTTTCGCAACATCAATAAATTTGATGATGATGAGCACAATTTTAAATAACTTTCGGTTTATGTGCAAGATTGATTTTCCTTGTCATGCAAATAGAGAAACTAAATGTTTTAGAAACAAACAAGCAAGACAGAAATGCAATTTTCGGAATACAAAAACTTCTATTTTTGAGTAACATCTTCCTAATGAATGCAAAATACCACATGTAAAAGTAAAGCACTGATCGCCAAGTTTAGAAATATGAGGCCTATAAATCTAATTGGTCACAAGCGAAAAGCAAACGTTGAAAAATAAAAGGAGGAAGCAGAAGGAAAGAAGATCCTTGCATGCAAGAACCTGTGCCTGCTTCTCAGCCTATCTTTATCCCATCTTTTAGATGACCTCAGAAATGCATTCAGCATGAGTGCATTTCTGCAGTGCACACGATGCACTGTTTGCAGCAGCTCCTTAAATTTCACTGAATAATAATACAGTAAAAGCCTGTCAATTCGAACTTAAAGGTAACATGAGCTAATGCCCTGGTCCTGGCACAGCCCTGCATATTTCTACAAAGGAAAGCGGAATATTTGAACTAGGAGCCCCTAATTTTTATTGCTGCTCACAGAAGTCGGCCCAGAGTGGTCACAAAACCAAATCAAAACAATCTTGCTCATTGTAAAATAACGAAACAGCAGCATTTCTCAGCACATCAGAATTCAGATGCTGCACTGGAGCTGTTGGGAAAGCCGCAAAGGATGGTCATGGGGTCATGACAGAACTGCAAGCAAATACGAATTACTGAGTACATTTATAATTTTGATTGCGTTGCTTCTGCCAAGTAGACAAACATGTTTTGGAGCATAGTGCCACGCTTGTTAATATATTGTGATATATTTCGACATGAATGGCTCACTGCTGACAAGAGAGCATGTTGGTGTTTCTTTAGCACGCATAACTGACTGATGAAATAATTTATGTCTGCTGTTAGGGCTCCATGCACCCAATTCGAGAAATCACCTGCCACAAACAAAGTAGTGCCTAGGTGGCGATAACAAGTCCAGAGGTGGCTACTGCTGGTTCTGTTTACGCAGTGTGGTGCGATGTCCTTTCATTATAACGCCCACCCGCTAATTCAAACTCCACTCCATTCGAACAACTCTACAGTTCCCTTCTAGTTTGAATCGGATCTTTTACTGTAGTTATGTGACACCCAAAGCAAACTTACACGCAGCAATTACTTCTTGGATTGCTAAAGAGGTGAATGCAGCACCTCCACGAGCCTATCTTTCAGCGACCTACTGAAGTGCAACAACACCTTTCTGTGCGTTATGAAGAATACATACAAAACAGCATGCTCATTGTCACACGTTGTTGGATTGTTGAATCCTGCATGCTGTGCGTATAATAGTGGCCCGATGCACATTGTTTTTGCCTGAATTGCTAGCTCTGCTAAACCAATGAAGGAGCTTTTGTCATGAATGGAAACTGGTTCATGCAAAAGGAATAATGACAATGTTTATATGAAATTTTGAAGGCGAGATAACCTGCGGGGTTTTGTTGCGTGAATACTAGGCTAGCGCAAATAGTGAATTTTAGGTTCGAAGCGAACAGTAATTTTGATCGAATAATTTCGAATTGAATTCAAATGGTATGTATGGCATAAAAAAAGTGAAACATTTATTATGACCTTACTAACCTCCACAATATTTCCTTCAAATTGAAATAGGGGCTGTATGCAAATGCCCCCCCCCCCCCTTTTTTTTTCATTCATAAAAAAGTCTAAACAACCTTGAGTAGTAGTTTCAGTAGGATGCAAGTGATAACCTGTAAGATACTTAATGTTTTAAAATTGATTATACTTAGAGCATATAAGCTGTCATAACAAGTTAATAAAATGAAGAAGTGATTTGAGGGTAACATGTTCTTTTAAATTTAAAGGGAGGGTTCGCGGCAAAACAAATTTCCCTTGAACAGGTGCTTTCGTGGCGTAGCACTACTACATTGCAAAGAAACCATTTTATAGGCGATTACATGCGGAATAATATACACTTACAATCGACATGCAATTTCTCAGACGCCTGAAATTCCGGACATGCCTGATTTCCCGGGCCCATCTGTGGCCTCGCCAAGTTCCTCTTAGAGTCAATGTACAGCTTTTCGTCGTTTACAGCTTTTGCCATACGATTTTCCGAACTTTTTACCGATAACCGCAGACTCGCAATCACTATCAACGCTGCTATTTTGATTGTTTTTGCACCCTCGAACCCACCGCGCCATGGCCGGCGTACCTTCGGAACCGTTGCTAGCCGTAGCTTAGTCAAACCTGTGGCCACAGCCATGCCACAGCCGCATGGTGCTGTGCAGCCTGTGTGCTCCTGTCCTCCAACAGCAGGAAAAGCTACGCTGGTGATCTATGGTTTGCCTTCGGCATGCTTGCAGACTCGTGGAAGGCACTTACGCAACAGACGCTGCGAAACTCTTTTCACCACGCGATCTTCCTACTGGATGCCAAGACGACCGTCTCACCCGGAGTGAACAGCATGTGCAATGAGCTTCCACTCGTGGACATTGTCTTGGACGATCTGCAAGCTGCTGGTGTTTCGATTACAGCCGGGAGGAATAACCTTTGAGGGCTCCGCAGACGCTGACGAATACCTCAAGCTGTGTGCAGAATTGACCGATGACGAAATCATTCAAGTTACTTCCGACAACTCTGACACTGAGATAGAAGCGGCAGCACCTACAGAGCCAATGAGCTTCGAGTTGATGCGAGCATTGACACTGTAATCGGGTTCACCATCGGTGTACAGCGACAGCAAGACGTGGAGGTGCTGACACCCCCTGTAAAGTTCTTTGCGCCGCGTGGGGCACGTGTCTCGCACAGAAGCCGTATTTTGGGGGTGACTATTGAGCGATAGGTGGCGTGTTCGCGAGTGGTGATCACCACTATCATCATGGTTGGTAGAGTGGTAGCCCCGGTGATGACCCCTGGCATAAGGTAAGCCTTGATGGCAGGCGAGAGAGTTGAGGAGTCTCTTTTGGCGTAGGGTGATGGCGCGGACGGTTGCCTCCAGCGGTGGGTCTGCCGTGACCAGCACCGCGGGCTGTCTGCAGTGGGCCCACGTGGTGAGTCAGGCGTTAGCGACACAGCCTTGTTTGTCATGTTGTGAAGTGTTGTATAATGTTGTGTAAGGATGTCTTAGCATGTTAATTAGAATTGATATATTATAATTCGGCTGAAGATATCGTTGTTCCAAAAGGCAGTTAAATAAACATGTCAGTTGTTTGGTTTGTTCCGACCGTGTCTGCTGTGTCCATTCACTCCAAGAGCCTGGCGTTCTCGCCACAACTAGACCCCCCAACGTTAGCTAAAATTAAGGCAGGCATCATCGCGGGCGCGTGGGATGCCGTGCAAGCAAAAATAAGCTACTTTTGTTTGTGTGTGTGTCCCCCCCCCTCCCCCAAGTGTTTACAAATGCAGTAGCGCCAACCACATCGAATTTTTTCCTTTTATTTTTTATGTTTCTTTTTGTTATAACAAACAGCTTTTTTGCAACGAGAATCCTGTATTCCTGCCATGATTCACTCCGTTAGCAAAAATACCTATTAAAAAAGTGTGTTTTAGCTTGCATACAGTTTTCCGGACTGCCCGATTTTCCGGACGTTTTCGCAATTACTTGAGAGTCCAGGAAATCGAACATCAACTGTATTAGTTCATTGCGAATACTTGAAAAATTTTCGATAATTTAAATTCGAACCGAAGCAAATTTGAATACTCAACTTCTCGTTCAAATATTCGATTATTCGCACAAGCCTAGTGAATACACACATATTATCTCTACAATATTGATGCCTTATATAGCCTGGAACACATTTAAAATCAATGGCAAAGTGTACACTGTGCAACAGCACGCAAAACTGAATACCTAGCAACATTGACATCAAGTTGGTTTGAATGTAAACAACCAACAGTCACTTATGTCAAGTTTGTGTTGGCCACCATCTTCCTTGAAGTGCCTTCTCTCCTACAGTTGCAATGCAGTGCTCGCGTGCACGTAATACTGTGAAAGTGGTCAAGTGATGAGTGCATCACAGTTTTGTGTGCTCACAACGGCCAGCTGTGTTTACAAACAAGGCTGGCTCCACGCTAATTACAAACAACGCTGGTTACAAGCCGCTCTCACTGCTTTCTGAAACAAAAACAGCGACTGGGCACTGTAGAACATTTCCAAAGAAATAACAGTGGCATGCTTGAGCACACAAGGTTTTCCAGCCAAGATAACGAAGTTGTTAACAAACTTACTGCAACAGAAAAAACAAGATATAAAGTTATTAAGACAGCACTCCAATTATTGGGGTCTCAGCTCTCTATAATCTCCTGCACAAAACAAATTCCTCTGCTTAAAGTGCGTTGCTGCTTACTGAATGACTTTGCACTGAACTAACTACAATTACAATAGTGTCCTGAACAACTGGTGGTCTTACCGGCTGCACTGTGCGCTGCTGCGTCTCCGTGCACGTCGTTGGAGTGAATGGGGACCACCTTTGGTACGTCGCTGGTCGCTGCACAAGAAAGGTGTACCCAAAGAGTCAGTTGAGTGGGTCATTTCTATGACCACACTGGAAGTGGTCATATCTTTTTAATTACACGATGCATAGTCTATATGATCATTACCTAGAATGCCCAGATTCACAGCAACATGATGTGGTTTTCTTGAGTAAGTGTGCGCACCACCTGCGACCTCTAATGTTCTTATGCCAATAATGATAATTTTGAGAGGTGCACAAGGAAGCGGGAGAGTGGGAGCGGGTACAGCCACATGCTCTTGGATGCAATGTGCAGCATAGACTGCTTATAACCTAAGTCACGGGAGTCGCGAATATGAGCACTTTAAGCGATACCGCACTAAAACCAAAAGAGCCTTTTTTAAGGGCTGCACTTGCGCAAAACTTGTTGAGCATGCAGCCTTATGTGTTTGAGACTAGAAGATGCGTAGTGCTTACAATCATTTAAATTTTTGAATGTCAAAAAATTTAACGTACCAAGACACGCATTGCCAACAAAATGAACGGAAAGGGGGGGGGGCGAAGGGCTAACAAAAGAAAGCCCTGTTGCAGGAATTCGCTGACTACTTCTACGACCACCTTGATTATGCGCATTACACAGAAACTATGTCGAATCAGGACGAAGTTTCATGCGCTGAACGCCAATCATTTGATTTCTTGGGCGCCCAAACAATTTAAAGACATTACAATCAAATCGCGAGCCACCATTCCGGTGCTACACATGGCACACTCGTTTTTATTAACAATATGTATCCCTTCATATCAAATGCAGCCACAGCAAAGAATTTAATTTATTCCGTACCAAATCGCAACTTAGCAAGCAACCGCTACTGAAAAACAACCAACGCCGATTAGGCCTAGCAAGGCCATTCAATATGTTGTCACAAGAAGTTCGTCCAAGACATAAAAATCAGGCCTTGAAAAAAATCGCACAAAAGCAAAGAACCAAGAACAACGTGCATGATACGAAGTTCTTGCTCGCGGTTGGCAGATCAATGGCGAAAACCCGCCTAGCTTATAACCTAACAGCACACCAGCAGCAAAAGGTGAAAGTTTCAGCATAAAGTGATAAATGGTTATAAATTTATGTACGTGGTAGCAAACACAATAGTGACAACCCTTTACCAGACAGGAAACTGTTGAGTGCAGTTGATAAGGACAGGATCGCAATTGCCATGTTGAGCCGTACATGGTCGGTGCCACGCTAGCAACACTAGTACACAACAGCGTCAATGCCGCTGTAACGGCTTCTCTCCACCTTTTGTTGGTTCACTGTGTGTCCCCTCCTCCTCCGTAATGACCTCGCCCCTCGCTCTTCAGCAGTGCACCCAGCTCGCTTCCCTCAAGACGTGCACTCGCTACCGCATTTGTCAAAGACTTTCCAGCAATTGCATTATAACTGGTCTTTCAGTTTGGGGCACTGCACAATAACCGATATGTGTATACATGGGTTTCTATAGGAGGGTAAACGGGAGTCGCAAACGACTACATTGTAACCGGTTCTGCACCTTTTAGATAGATATGTGGGGTTTAACGTCTCAAAACCACCATATGATTATGAAAGACGTCGTAGTGGAGGGCTCCGGAAATTTCGACCACCTGGGGTTCTTTAACGTGCACCCAAATCTGAGCACACGGGCCTACAACATTTTCACCTCCATCGGAAATGCAGCCGCCGCAGCCGGGATTTGAAGCCGCGACCTGCGGGTCAGCAGCCGAGTACCTTAGCCACTAGACCACTGCGGCGGGGCGGTACTGCACCTTTTAAGCGGTTACGTTATGAGTGGTCTACACTGTATAAGGACGTCTAAAATTTATGAAATTATTTTTTTTAGACTTTTTGGACTTTCTGCATTTTCACTGCAATCGCAAGTCTGAGACAGCCTTATTTGGAGCAACAACTGCTACTGCCACGTGAGCTAAATTAATCATGATTCAGCGTTTGTGTGCCTAGCCGCAACAATTCTTGGCCACAGCATTCTTTGCGGCATTACACAGGTGCTATGAAATGATACATACAAACATTTGAAAAGGGCTAATGTAATGAGGTACGGTGTAACTCCGCAATTTCAGGTGACCAGATAATGTCACACTCCCAGGGAGCCACGACATGCTAGGAAAATCCAGTAGCAGACAGTAAAATGGAAATGGGCACTGTTTTGGTTGCTGAGAGAACTGGTCCTGTGTGTTCCTCCCGTTCCGCCTGCAGCCATGAAATGTGGAGGGAGAGTATGCTCGTATGCGTGTTATGCACACTCAAAATTTGTAAACGTCTGCTTTTGCTGCGCTAGCCAGGGTACCGCCATTTTTTTTTTTTACTTAAGGGGGGACACGGGTCTTAGAAGGCCAAAAATCGCAAAATAATCGACTTTTTGAAGCTGACATTTTCGAAATCTGTACCTATTTTTGCACCTATCTGAGAAGTTTCTAGCATCTCGCGTCATTATTTTTGGCACAAAATCAATTTATAACATTTCTGTGAGATGAATGTGAGTGCGAACTGACGCTAAAATTGCGCTTTTTCCGAGCCGAACCGTTGCCGTTACACACGAGCTATCGTGTTCATCTTGGTCTCATTTGAAAGGGTCGTTCTTCATCTTCAACTTCCCACCACCGCTGGCTCACCTTGCTCACTGGTTCTTTAGCAAATATGCATCATCGAGCAGCACTAGCGCGCGGTTCAATTGGCTGCTTGGGGCACGTGACAAAACCTAGGCATCCGATTGGCCAAGGGATGGTTTCCGCGCCTACTTCCCCATCGTGACGCACACGGACATGCGCCATTTTGTCATGGTGCTACTGACTGCCTGCGGCAGTAAAGAAGTTCCACACTACAGTAATTTCTGAAGAGCGTGTGGCGGTTGTTCGTTCACTGTGAACTTCAGAAAGAGCCCCGCTATGGCTCAGGACAACGAGGATAACGAACTAGACGCAGTCAACGGCAGTCGCCGAGTCACCTATGTAGGTCTAACTCACGTACAAGCCCGTTGGTTGCCGACAACATTACTGAGAACGGCTGTGTTTTGCTGCTTCATCAGTTAGAGGACGGCAATTAAAAAGCAGAAGTGAAGCTAAAAGAGATATCAATCTTTGTAGTGACGGAACGGAAGCGCAGTGTTATCACTAAACGCGCCGATGCCGCGGTTTTCCCTGCCTGACGAAAGGACCTTGAACTGCGCGACGGGTCGTCTGAGTGAAGTATGCCGTGCGTCGACGAAAAACAGAAAGTCAATCCGTTCGCGGTCAAAATGCTCGCCGCCCCCGCAATAGAGGCAACTGGCAACTGGTAGACTGCTTTTAACGACGTGTTCGCAGCATTGTCGCGATCTCCACTCGGAAATGCGGCAGTCTTACGTGAAAAGGAAACTAGCACCTCGGCCCTCGTGTAGCCTCAAAATTGATGAGCGAGGGAGCAACCTTGGTTCGCGACATTTACGGGTAACTCATTCTGGACAAGCCGGAAAAGCACTGACGTATCGCAGATGACGCACGCACATTTGTCGCATGTCGCCGTCACTACAGTTACCGAACTGATAAGCGACCTCACGGCAGACGAGCACACAGCGACAACTCGCTACAGGACTAGAAGAAACTACACGCTCGTGCAAACAATCAGTCCTATTACATTCCCGGTGCATATTAATTGACTAAAAGTATGTGTGCCATGATATTTTTTCCCTCGGAATGGCGAAATAATGTTTTAACAGCATTATTCTTGAAGCACAGATTTTGACCACCTTCTTTTGCCTGTTCAGTAAAAGTGGACCTAGGACAGCTAGAGCTGTAATCGTTTTTGCACAATGTAGCTAAACGTGCACAAAAAAATATACTGGAAGCCTATTTTTAATGGGCAGCTTCATTTTTTTATTTTAATATAAAAATTACTGTATTTAGTTACATGCAATGAACTGTGCTGTAATTCGAGAAGTACTCGTTCGATTTTCGATCAGCTTGCAGCGTTGCACTCCGTAGGCTTTATAGCATTTATTTATATGTCAATGGCTATGTAATGCTAAGAACATGCATTTTTACAGTTAAAAATGTTAGAATTCTACGTTTTCTTCCTTTTCTCAAAATGGCAATTTCGCACACCTTGCATGAAAATTACTGCAATATATCTGAAACTATTACAGATAGCAGAATATTTTTTTTTGCACCATGAAGCTATGTGTTTGGAGCACACAACATAGGAAGCAGATTTTGATTTATCTTGATGCAAGTTTTTTAAACTAGTCTTTTGTGTGACCACACAATGGCCACATTCAGAGCAGTGAAGTTAAGTGCACTGTAAAGTAAGAAATAATGCCCCAATCAAAAAAGTGCTTCCTCTGTTGTATGTCTTATGCTTTCTACTGCCAATCCGTATCTCATTTATAAATTTTTGACGGGTGGTTATTTTTCCATTGTGGTAAGAACAATAGAAATTGTTATCTTGATTATTTAATTAACTAATGAAGCTACAGAAAAGATCACTACATTTTTAGAATCAGGAGAACAAACTAAGTAAGCATGCCAACTTGTGTCACATTTGGTTAATAAAATTAATGAGAGAGCCCTAAGACCCATGTCCCCCCTTAAGGAGAGACGCGGCTTCGGGATGCCTCAAAAAATTCATTTCACCCACCTAGGTAACGAAACTTTTTCTGGAAATCGGGAGAAAACAGCGATTTTCAAAAAATTATGGCTTCGCGATGGCGGGGCCGGGAGCCGGCTTCTTGGGCTAATCGGAAAGAGCATTTCTCCGTGTTTAACTTTCCTGCCTCAGCTGGCTCCTCCCTTTAAACACAAGCACACAAAAAACAAATGCTTGAGGGCCGTTTCGAGGCCCTACATTGGCTGTGGCCGCCATGTTGCGTCAGCTCGCCTCGCCATTGGCCCGATGCTCGCTCCGGAAGATCGTCGTCTGCTGTTCGTGCGACGCGAGGACATGACTCTCGAAAATTGCTACTTCGTGACGTGTTCACGGCTCGATGATCACTTAAGATATAATTACGCTTTAGTTAGAAGCAGTAGGTGGATGCGCAATCAGGTTACTACGAGCACGGCGCATCATCAGAGTCGTCTTTAGCCCTCACTTCGCCGACAGCAAGACTACGGGCAGGAACGACGCGCTAGCGCACTCGTGGCGACGTACTTCGTCGCAAGCAACGAAGCTGTAAGCGGAGGCATGGTCAGATAACTACGAGTGGCCTGCACCGGATGCACGATCAGATTACTACGAGCGGGCGCGCGGTCTACGAGCGAGGCGCGTCATCGGAGTCGGCTTTAGCCCTAACTGCGCTGACAGCGAGACCGCAGGCAGGAACGATGCGCTAGTGCATCCAAAACAACCCGCGGGTTGTTTTGGATGTGATGCGCATTGTTTTGAATACTTTTCGCTCCTTCTTCGGCGCACATGACGACGACGTAGCAATAGATCACTTTTTCCAGTGCGAAGGGAGAGCTTTGAAGTTGTTGCATGACAAGGGTCGGCAAAGTAAGCTGACCGACTTCTGGCAATAAATTTTCATTCTGCTGGCTGTATCACTGTTTTTTATGTCTCATACTCGCGGCAACGAAATTCTCGCGAAAACGAAATTTTTCGGTTTCCCTGGCGATTTCGTTATAGCGGTTTTCGACTGTAGGCATTAACGGAAGCCACCACCTCACCACTGCAGTGAATTTTCAGAATCAACTTTGCCACACTGCCACAGCAGTATGCAGTCAACAAGGAGGAATAAACATTTTCGAGGTGCAACTCTGCTCCTTGACGCGACCAGATAACAGCACATTGCCAGGAGGGCCAAATTACGCTGCCGTCGTCTTGCGGTGGAAAAGTGAATCACTGCCGTTTCAGTTTCCGAGTGAACCGGTTCCGACAATGCTCGCATACCGCCGCAGTCACGGAATGATAAGGCCGAGTGCGGTCGATTGTGCTCAGATGGTAGCGTTGCCTTTTCTTTTGTCTCGTGGTTGTGACTTTGCTCCGCCAACTGAAATGTCTCCTTCGCAGCATGTTATTTTTGTATTTTATGTGACGTTACCTGGGCGCCTGCTGGACGCTCCCACTTTAACGGGAGTTTCACTTTCTAAATAATTCTTCCTCCAAGGTGGTGAAGCATACCGCCAATAAGATGGGGCTCTGGATTTTGAGTGGAGGTTAAGCAGCTTGATATTTCATGTATATCTTTTCTTTGCGAAGATTTCTTTTTCCATTGCCTTTCAGCATGGACACTCAACAGCCAGAATTGATCAGTATAACCGATAATGAGGCAAGTTGGCATTGCTGTAAGCAGGTAGTTCCCTCATAGAAAACATCCTACAAAGGTTGGCAGTGTAGCAGCTTATTGTTACAACAGATGTATTACTAAAACTGGTATCCTTATCAGCAGGTGCAACTGTATGTCCTTACCAAGCAATTGTAAGAGGGGGTGCCTCTTTGAAAAGTGCTCTAATGTTTACACATACTTAGCAAAGTCTTCTAGCGGGTGTGCAAATTTCTTTCTCACATTTTTTTCCTCATACGAATCATGCTCTACTGCATATTGGTTAAAACTGCAAACAGCATTTTCATTTTTGGCTACATTCCCTAACGCGAGGTCTGCCATCGATCTAGTTAGTGACGCATTACAAAAAACAGCGTTCGCGACCGACTGTTTGACATCAGTACCCCTTTAACATGACTACAAAGACAATCCCACACAAACTGCTCACATATTGGACAAACAAGCACTGCATTATTCCGATATGAAATCACTGTCCAGCTTTGCTTACCATTGGCGACGGCGGTAGAAGCATTGGCAGCTGCTGAAGTAGCGGAGCTGCGTGGTGATGTTGCTGGAGGTGATACGGTGGTGCGGGGAGGAGCGGTGCACTGCGAGGCATTTTTCTTTTCCTGCGGGCAGGAAGACATCTGCTTTTACAACTCCAAGTGTTAGTGGTCACGCAGGCTTCACGCTGGTGCAGGCTTTTTCGGGTTAATGGAAACCGATCTAACAAAAACAGTAGCAGGACAAGTAAGAAAGCAACATGCAAGTGTTCTTTTTAGAACAATCCTACACAAACATTACAATAAAATTATGCGCCACATAAGTTTCACACTGCCTCCAGGATAGTGCTGCTGCGCTATTATAACTGGCTGCATACAACATCATCTAAGACCTTCTTTTAGATCAGAAACATCTTATGAGTGAGATTGATCCGGTGGTGTCCGTGCTCCACTGCGCATGCCCGTTCCCTATCTCTCCTCTCCTACGCTCCCACCCGCTTCCTCTCTCACCTTGCAAAGCCAACACAGGCAGCATCTACTAGCGAGTTTCTTGATTGTGAAAATTGACTGCTCATGCTGCACAACCCTTTATTGGCCATCCCCATATATATAGGCACTGAATCTTGACCTCTAAGGTAGAGCTGGTGGGAGATTTCTCTTGCGCATTGTTGAAAAATAAAAATTGACAGCGTGTCCATTAACTCAAAGCGCACTGCGGGTCTCTGTGTCAAATCAGTCTTCTATCTCTCACTGCCCATTAGCAGTACATGTTCCGATAGGAAACACCAGTCTAGCACTGCGTGCTTTATACCTCTCTTCAGGTCTCTCCTGTGCGATGCCGCCATCAGTGTAAGCGTTATCGGTTGCCGCTTTGAATCTATACATGGTTCCCTTAAACCAAAGACAGTGCAATTTATTTTTATTTGACTGTACCTGTTACTGCTTTCCACAAGGTAAGTAAAAGTTAATGCTGCCAATGAATTGAAAAGTGTAGATTATGAAGACTGTTACTGCTGAAAACTGAAACAATTTACTTTAATATGACTTAAATCACAATATAGTAAAGTACTTGCTAAAAGAGAGTGAATATTGAAGTTTCACGATCAAAACAGATTATGCAAATACAATAATTCGATTCGATCTTTAAATTCACTGTACTTATACTTAAGAATAATAGAAATTACAAAATTGAAAACGTGGTCAGTGTTGTGACTAGGCTAGGAGGTCTAACACATAACCAAACACAAGTTTATCTAAAAGGAGATTTAAAGGTGGCTTCGCTCTTTCGATAGCACAGGCATATAAGGGTAAGAGAAAATAGTAGTTTTTATATTTGAAACCATGCCATAGAAATGTACCGAGCAATGGACCGTGACCTGTACCACGAAAGCTTTGGCGACACAGCGTGCCAACATGCCTCAAAAAGAGCTGGCCACCTTCATACACCAAAAACGCCTGCAAGGCTTACTATTTCAAGTGAAGGAGCTGCGTGCAACTTAGATGCTTGAGTTGTCGTTTGGCTGTGTTGCCTAGTTTCCATATCATCAAACTACCACAATCAATAATTAATACTGATGACAAGGCTTTTCTGCTCTATTTTAAGCCTCACTATAGGCACAAGACTCACCTCGAGGTCACACTGGTTCTCCAGCCAGCTTTGGCGGTGCCGGTCAACGCCACTTGAGCAGCGCTGCACCGCATCACACCAAGAGCAGCTGAATGAGAGCTGCGCTGAACGGCACTCTGTACATGTCTTCAGGCCCAGGCACGCTGCAAGGTGGAAAGCACAGTCAGTTGCAGCCTTCACGCACAAGGCACAAGTACTGAGATCAACCACAGACCCATAAAGGCATGGTTAGGCTTTAAGATAGCAGTTTAAAACCAGGTTTTTTACGCTGCACACATGCAATGATGGCTCAATACAATAATTCTGAACAAGGTAAATTTTTTCTTAGTGGGTGTTTAAAGGTACTGAATACAATGAGTTGGTTTTTATTGACAAACTTGCACTCTGAGAATTCTACTGCCATATGTTTCACTATCATGAGTTCAATATTAGCGGATAAAATCAATGCTGAAGTTTCATTTTCAAATTTCGCATTAAAATCTTCGTACGCTATGCCAGAAACTTCACTTGTTGACTGCAACACACACACCAGGGAAGTCTGAACAACTCTAACGGGTCATCTGCTTTACTATCTTTGTTTGCAGAGTCATAATTTCCATGCACTCCATGTGCAACAGCCTTAATTTAATCCGTGCTTTGCTGGTATCAGCAGTGCTCATCACGGGGCGCAAATTTGCAACTGGTGGTTGGATACGTATTTAATAGGTTCCCAGCAGGCCCCAAATGTATTACAAAAGCCTGGCCATGCACTGAAATGCCTGATAAGTCTGCTGGAAAACACGGAGACTATTTCGGCCATAGCTGCTGGTGATCTGAGCTTTTGAGTTTAAGTGTTATGCTTTAACTGCAGTGTAGTAATCACGGCATTAATGAAACAGACTTAAAGAGGATGCAAAATCAACCTGTCACACGTAAAGACCGAACCTGCTATCTTCAAATATTGTGCCCAATGCTCTACCAATGGAGCTACAACAGTGTTCGCTCTCCCATACACTTGGGTATTTATGTTTTGCATTTAAAACAAAATAAAACCAATTAAAAGAAACATGAGAACTCTGACTAGCACACTGAGAAGCTTTTTTTTCTTCTTTAGTTTATCACTGTTATTGTTCGAAGTTTTGTTGAGTTTGAACCAACAGGCACTCCGTGAAATGCAAATGATTGAGCATTTACTGTGCTCATAATTTCTTGTCTCAAGTTCTTCCCCCCCGGTGAAAACCAGCAAATGTGTGCTTGGCAGGCTCATAAAAATAGCAGAAATAGGCAGCATCAAAAAATGAATTAGGCAATCCGAAATGGACAAGTAAAATTACTTGTTCAGGGTTGTGAAGAGGCAGTTAAACAAAAAAAAGGAGGAACTATGAAATACAGAGTTTTTGCATGCTAACGTTACAAGTTTTGCAGTCTTCTGTCTTGACATGCAAGGCTGCCAGTACATTAGCAATGGTAGCAAGTGACCTACGAACCAGTTAAGTTACGCACCAGTTCTTGAGTTACTTTTAAAACAGTCAACAGGAAAATGACCGAAGCTAGCACGCAGAATAAATACGTCATCACACACTCACTCGGTAGGGCGGTGAACACTATAGCAGTGTTGCTGCGAATGATGTCGCTCTTCTTGCTCACCTGGTGGTACTCATATATAGTCTTCCGCTTGACAACTGGAACAGCAGGAAACAAGACAGCTCACTGAGACGCTGCTAGAAGAATAATTCTGAAAAATTTCTGGTTAGAGCACATGGGACATGGTTTTTCTCAGAGGTCAGTAGTTTCCACATCCCGATGGAAGCTGCCGTATTCACTCAACTGTAATGCGAATATTTTTTCCCCATTATTGCTGCCTGCTGTTTACCCTCAAGTCGCAACCGACTACCAAAATTTAAATGTGAAATGATGCACCTAATTTCAATTTACGTCAACAGTTCTGGCAGTTTCGTCATCTATGTTGGCAACGAGGACCACACACATGCCCTTTAGATCCGCTGCAAGCCATTATTGGCATAACTGTTTTTTCCTGTCCACATTTTTCTGCAGCAACATGGCCTTGGCGTTTGGTCAGTGTTGTTGTTTGTGGCGCCCTCAGCCTCTTTGGTTGCCCTCGGGTAGTTCTACGCACCGCCAGCTTCCCTCGCAACGACAATGTGTCACGCTCAGTAGAATGCCTGTTTGAGGTGTGCTATTTTGATCGCTCAACCAATCATCGATTCAGCTGCTGCCTGAAGCCATGGCGTGAACAAGATGACCAATGCGCGGATGGCAGCTACAGCGGGAGCTCTTTTTCAGGTGTAAGCTGTGCCACAAATACTTCGTGAGCCTCGCCACAGCTGCCCCTCCGAACTGGAGCAGTGTGATTTCTTTTACAGAACAGTGCCAGACTGATGCAGTTCAAAGCAGGATGATGTCACTTGGCAAATGGACGCCCACAAAGTTCAAAGTATCACACGGCTGGGAGATAAAAACTCGTCCAACAATGACTGGCAAGAACACCACATTTCAAGGCGTGCAATAGCTTTTAGTCAGTGCTTGAAAAATAAATGTGATTTTTCATGCCTTCGTTGATCTTCCAATTATTCCGTGGGTTTTCTTCTCTTTATTACTTTTTAGATGCATTCGCATCACACTCCCAGCTTTATTTTTCCTTCTTAGATGCAATGAGAATTCGCTCCTTGCAATACAATTGCCGTTGCATAACAATTGAGTGAATACGACAGTTTCATTTCATGCTAAAGAGTTTACTAATCATTGGGATCACTTCACCTGGTACTGTGCTACTCTATAACATGTTTCCTTATTAACAGCACATATTCTGTTCTTCGAAGAGGGTGCTCACTAGTTATTCATTCCAACGTTCCTTCTTTTATTAACAAATGATCTAAGCAGCTTAAGGGGAGACTTGGGTTCTAAAATAAAGTTTGTTAATTTTGGAGCGAATTCATTGATTTTTATCAGTTTTGTTCAGTTGTTTCTGCTGACTTCAAATAAGTAATTATATTTTGCATACATGCGTTAGAACAAAAGATACAAAGCTTTTAATGCAGATATTAGATCGATTTTTTACAGGACTTATCAAGCACTTCGCTTCATGAAAATTCAAAACTAATTATATGTCAGGAAACCCAGAGAGTTGCTCTGGCCGGTGATGCTCATATCATTGTTTTCAGCACAATTATAACGCACAAAAAACATATGTATACTTGATTGCCAAATTTGTGCTAACTTTCATTTATAATTAGTGGCAACTGAAGTTTTACAGAAAAATTTAGAAATGAATGAATAGCATCACCGACTAGCTCAATTCAGCTCGAACATTTTGATACTTGAGTTTTTGCCTTTACTCAGATAAACCATACAAGAACGTTATGTAAAAATGTGTTTGATGGCCAGAAAAACAAAGTTGAGAAAAATGTATCTGAAATTTCACTTCACCATAACGTTGATTAGCTTAGCAACCTGGCAATATAAAATGCATCACCATGTGGCCCTGTTTTTCAGCATCAAGTTCATGGTAAATAAGTCGCCACTGTTCATAAATCACAGAGAGATATCTTACGTAAAATAAGGCATAGTCATTAAAAACGACACAAAGAAGTCAGCACCACCCAGGTTACATTTCACTTCTGGTTCCTAGTTGCACAGAAGGTACACAAAAAATGTAAATTGTGCCAATAGGTTGCTCATTACCACAACAAAATACGTTTTCCGTACAGTTATGGCAGCAAGGAAACAAGTTTATCTAGATCAAATCCTAGTATTGGCAGCTACATTTGGATGGAAGAGAAAAGCGTATAAGTTTTTTTTACTAGTCTTCCAGGTGCTCAAAATGAGTTGATAATCATCATGAAAGCTTTGGCACTAAAAATCCTAGATAAGAAAGAAAAAGTCCTTTGAACAATCAAATGAGGTCAGATCTAGATCTATAGTAGCCCAGGACTGTAGGCAGAGTCTGCTGCCAGCTTGTGCCTTTTTGCCAGCTTGCTTGTGGTAGCATTCCTGTTCGTGTGGTTCTTGGTGGACATGCTGATTTGTCAACGATCTTTTTCCAGGTCTCTGCGCACTGCACGGGCACCGGCACTGTAGCCCAGTTTCTCCCCTATAGCAGTGTAGCTTTTCGTCAAACCCTGGTTGAATCGACTGATGGCTTTAACCACTGCCCTCTTGACACTATGAAGCGAAGCATGCTTGAACCACTGCCCTCTCGACACTATTAAGCGAAGCATGCTTGGTCTTCGGGGCTAGATCCCAGATAACAGTATGCTGGCACTCGCTAGCATTCTGTGTCATGCCATCGTTGCATCACTCCAGAAGAGTTTCCTCACTCATACACTTGAAGAATGGCTCCAAAGCGTCACACATGAAGCTCGGCAAGCTGTTTCTGTGTGATGGGGGTTCCTCGTTTCTTGCCACAGCACGATTGTAAGAGCACCAAGAGTCTAGCCCTTAAGGGCAAAGGTCATTCCTCGGGGCATCGTCAGTTGACGACATGAGGCGCAGAGTTGCCTCAACTGCCCTCTTAATTTCCGGCACGTCATTCTTATGACTCCCCAGAGCCCAGCCATAATAGTTTGTAATTTTCTTAATTTTGTCCTGGGTGAGCTGTCCCTTTCCTCTGAGTGGCTCACCTTGGGCTTTCTTCTTGTCAACCAGAGAACGCAGGGCTAGCTCCCGTACGCTTGTGTACATGGTTCCCACAGTCTTTTTTTTTCCACCTTAATAAAGCCGTACACAGCTTGCTTAGTGAAGGCATGAAAAATCCTGCTGTCACCGTCCGAGAGCATTGCAGTGTAACGCAGCCAGTACTTGTCGAGAGATCTCTGGAACATGATGAGTGCAGCTTGCATCTCCATTTGCCCGGCATTACAATCAATGTTTTTCTGGCAGTCTGGTACGTGTTTTGCACGCCAAGCCGCGTATCCTTGCTGACTGAGTTTTGGGCCAAGTGAGCAGGCCAAGCAAAAGTTGGACAAAACAATGTGGTCCCCAACGGGCCCAGTATACCTTTCGATGACACACCCGACCGCAATGTGTGAACTGTGGCCACGCATCAGCCAGGTTCCATCGTAGATCACATCGTTGTTGCCTGGTGGGTTGCCCAAGTCTTAGTACAGCTCCTTGATTTTAACCACAGCTCCTTGATTTTAACCACACTTGCAGACTCACAGTCTGTTGCAACACTGGTGCATGCTTGAACCATCATGCCCATATGGCCTTGGAAAGTTTTGTGGTGTAAGCCGCGATGAGACATGTTCATTACAGCGAAGAAATCAGACAGGGCTGTTGCTCCTTTGCCGATGCTTTGAATAGCCTTCATAGACCTCACTTTCACCTAAAACAGCGTTATCCAGTTAGAAGAAAATCGCTCTATGCACATCTCGCTAATGAAGCATTCAAGCACGAGCTTTATACAAAGCCCGTACTCCATGGTGGGTCCTTGGAAAGTGTCGCAGTTTTCTCGCCGCACTCGGGACACGGCATAAGTCCGATAATTTCTTGCAACACGAACAAATCCACTACTAAAAATAAGGTTTCGCTGTTGCTCACGTCATCTTCCATCTCGACTCCCAGAAGCTCGAATTTTCGTTTTGTTGACGACTTCAATGCCAGGCGCGCTTTTACGTCACCGGCGGTCGTCGCGCGCACCCTGCTTTAATAAGCGGTGTCGATGCAAACTACGCCAACACGGGAACTTGGAGCAGACGAAGCGCTGGCACTACATGTATTGGGTTGTAGCTCAGAACTCGACCCAGCAGAGCCTCCAGGCAGAGCAGCAGCCGTCAGCTCGAACAGCTTGACAGGCCTTGCCGCCTTCGGTCGTGCATTCCATGGCCGCTTTCTTTATGCGAACGCTCTCGCGTCGTAACCTTGAGCACGGCCGGACTACAGTGGCGGCACACGCGCACTTTCTTACGGCCTGAGCACCGAAGGAGGGAACGATAGGGCAAATTCTTCACAGCTCGTTGCAGCGGTCGCCGAGTGGGGGCGCTTCGAACAAACCCTCTACTCTCCCAACCCCTTCTCTTTCTCAGTCGATGCCTCGCCTTTGGCCGAGTTAAATGACCACGCTTGCCACACGTGTTTTGGATCTGCCGTGGAATATCACTGATACCAATGAATACATTCGCTGATATATTTCACCAAGTAAGCAGACTTGTTGTGCCCTTCGGTTGCATAATTTTCTCAATCGGTTTCTGATTGCGTCGTTATAATATTTTCAGGGTACATCGGGTTAAACTGGTACATGTGAAGTGGCCGGCATCAAAATGGCGTACTGCTGCGTGCCCTTTTGCCGCTCGCACCCTGGGAAAAGCCCAGGTGTTTCATTTCGCCAATTTCCGAGTGACAGAGATTTGTGAGCCAAATGGCACAGGAATATTGCTTGGAAGGATTCAACTATCAACAATAAGTCGCCGTCAACGGTCGTGTGTAGCCAGCTCTTCCTTCCGACTGACTACACTTCCGGGTGCCGCATAAAGAAACTTTTGCCTGGCGCTGTGCCCACAGTTTTCCAAGGCTATCCGGCGTACATAATGCCTCCTGCAAAAAGGCCTCGCAACGAACCTGCTCTTCGGGCTGTTGTACCTCCTCCAAAGCAAATCAAGCGGAAAGCCCAGCCACTTGAATCGCTGCCTGTGGAAGACAATGTGTCTGTCGAATGTCATGAAGACACCAAAAGCATGAGCACGCAAACCACGAACGTCGATCACCACTGTACAAGCCGGTACCTCTCCACTATCTCGAGGCTTCGCTCTCAAGTGTCATACCACCATTCCAAGAGTCAGAAGTTACTAGAAAAACTCGTCAAGGAAGAGCAGCGCAGTGCATTCTATCTCGAAAGCAAACATCTTGCTTCGGTGAGAAAAATCGAGGCGGACTCGCAGCATGGACACAAAAAGGCAGTGTTCCTGATTCACCAAATTGAACGATACGGGAAGCAGCATTTGACGTACCCTGAAGAAGTAATTCGAGAATGTGTGCTATGGAGATTTCTCTTGCCTAAACTTACCAGCAAAATGCCCCCTCCAAAAATACATGGGCCCCGGCCCAACCTCATTTGGAATGAGTGCTGCAATGCGAACAAGACTGGTTCACGAAGCGTCACTTCTGAGCAGCAAACAGCATATGGCATCATTAATTGTTGATAAAGCAAGCATTAAGCCAAAATGCATCTATGACAGAAAAGGAGATGCCGTATTTGGTTTTAAGGACAGACCCGACAGCAGCGCGTCGAACACGCAGGGTATTTTGGCAACAGGGTTTTGTGCTTTGTTCTGTGTGGCACAAACATTCATTCATTTGTAGTGTTTAAAGTCCCAAAACCACCATATGATTATGAGAGACGCCATAGTGGAGGGCTCCGGAAATTTCGACCACCTGGGGTTCTTTAACGTGCACCCAAATCCTAGCACACGGGCCTAAAACATTTCCGCCTTCATCGGAAATGCAGCCGCCGCAGCCGGGATTCGATCCCGCGACCTGCAGGTCAGCAGCCGAGTACCTTAGCCACTAGACCACCGCGGCGGGGCTGTGTGGCACAAACAGTCAATATAAGATACCTTGCTCATATTATTTCACCAAGCAGCTGAGTGGAAAAGACCTTTTCAAATGGACAAAAGAAGTGATCGCCGCAGACGAGTCGTGTGTTTTTAACATCGTTCGTATTGTAACTGACAACTACTCGGCAAACACCACGATGTTTAAACACATGGGCAATGGCTCCTTGCACACGGTTATCACGCAACCGCATGACCCTGACCGGGTAAACTTCCTTAGCTTTGACCCGTGCCATGTGATCAAAAATATCCGAAGCCACTTCCTCGAAAGGCAGCTCACAGGATGGCTGCGACGTTATAAGCGGTACATACGTAGAGAAATTGTACGAGTATCAGAAGTTGATGATTGTGAAACTTGCTCCCAACCGAACATGGAAACGTGTATCCGATGAATCTTGAAAAGCAAAATGTGCTGTGTGCTGTCCAAGTGTTTTCGCCAGAGATGTGTGCGGCGGTACATCTGCAGGAGAATTACCGTGGCGACAGAAATCTGCATAATTTCAAAGACGCGGATGCTACCATTCGCTTCATGAAAGCCATAATGAAATGGTTTGATATTTATGATATTTCCTGTGCTGGAAGTGGTTACAAGGCGCCGATTTGCAGTCCACACGATCATCGTTTGCTGCAGCTTGAAAACAAGTTCACTGTGTACATAAGGAATGTACAGTCGTGTTCACTTGCCTCAGGCAACGGCACTCTCACACAAGAGACCTTTCAAGCGTTGCTATTCACCACGAAATCCACTGTGGGAACTACACGCTTCTTGGTTCAAGAAGGCGTCAGTTGCGTGCTGACTAAGAAACTGAGAAACTAAATAGCGATCCGATTGAGGCACTTTTTGAGCGAATCCGACAAATGTGTGGCGGCAATGAACAATTGGATGCCAAAGCCGTTACGGCTGCCCTTGATCGGATTGTGAAGGCTAAGTCATTATGCCCAAAAGAAGCCGAAGCGTCCAATGCTGATGCTGAGCAAGTGGCAGCCACACTGTCTGAAAAGTTTCACGATGAGCTGGAAGACCTAATGCAATGTCATGCCCCTACACCAAGGTTGCTGACTTACTCGCGTCTGTCATATGTTGGCGGCTACATTGCCAAGTTAATAACAAATTTTGGTTGCGGATCCTGTGAAATCCTAGTCACAACATGCAACAAAGACAATCTTTTGTACGTACTGTAGCAAGGCCAAGACCAGAGTAGGCCAGAGTTTTTTGCTCTTTTGAACAATGTATTTAATTTGTTTGACCCCATGGCAACGCATCTGCCAAGAACGAATACGCTGGAAGCTCAGCTACTCGTCGAGCGTCGGCTCAAATGAGCGCCAGTACTAAACTGTCCAGAATGTGTTGAAGACAGCTCCGCAAAACGGTCCGCAGCTCTAATTGCCGCAAAATTCATGAGAATACTTCTCATCAACCACACGAAGAAAATCACCGACTCACAAGAGAAGCCCTCCAATTATGCACACAAACCGTCCAGAAAATTATTCAGATTGTGACCAAATGAACTTTCCTTTCTTGACGAGAAAGCAAAAAAGAAAAAATGTCCTTCTGCGAGTTGCTTGTTTACATAGTAATGCCTATTGTGTTTTGATTTTTTTACCTTCGTACTGAAATTTGTTAATGTGAATTTTTGAAGTGCAGCATATATTATTCAATAAAAGTTATTTGAAACAATAAATTCGCATATTTTTTCTTCGTGTGCCTCGTGTTAAAATGTTTTTTTTTTTTTTCTTCAAACGTTTATGATTCGGTGCTTCACGAATATGATGTTACGCTGCTGGACCCTATTAGGCAGGAAATTCAGAAGGGGGGAAGGAATCTCCTATGTTTGAAGACGCCAATGTAAATTAGCATGGAGAAGTATCACCTGTAGCCAGGGCAGGGTTAGAAGAGCGGCAAGTGGGCGCGCGCCTTTCCTCTACCTCGGCTGTGTTGTAGCTCAACTGGCGAGGCTTCGGCCGCAGCGCCACAACTAGCGGTGGTGAAAGGTGGGAACTAGACCCGAAGAGCAGGCCGTAAGGGAGTGCGCCCCTCGCCCCTCTAGTCCGACCGTGCCTTGAGACGACGATCTTCTTTAGCCATTCAGGCAGGGAAACGCTGTCCAACGGTTGAGCAAGCGATGCGATAAAATCAGAGATAAACGATAAACACCGGCAGTGAAATGCGAGAGCTCCGAGGCAGAGTGCAGGAGATCCAATGTTCCCGGCGCGTTCGCTGCTAGACCAATATTGATTGATATGTGGGGTTTAACGTCCCAACACCACCATATGATTATGAGAGACACCGTAGTGGAGGGCTTCGGAAATTTTGACCACCTGGGATTCTTTAACAAGCACCCAAATCTGAGCACACGGGCCTACAACACTTTCGCCCCCATCGGAAATGCAACGCCGCAGCCAGGATTCGATCCCGCGACCTGCGGGTCAGCAGCCAAGTACCTTAGCCACTAGACCACCGCAGTGGGGCGCTGCTAGACCAATAGGAGCGAAGCCAGCAAGGGTGTGCGCACTTCGGCTAATCACAGGCACGAATCAATGCTTCAGAAATGACGTGATAAAGTAAGTTCCTGCAACCCGATGCCATTTTGAAAGAGAGCAAAATGCGCACAAAGAAAACAGCTTCAAAAAGAGCCCAAGATGGCAGCTGCCACCGCGTCCGCATGTGGTGAAGATTTCACGGAGGGATTTTTGAATGATTAAATTTTGCGAAAATGCAATTTTCCAAAAATCTTCTTTTTTTGCTGTTGTTGCCATCTCAGGATCCTACGTCTCCCTTTAAATGAGTACGAAAAGATGCGGCAGGGAGGGGGTGGGCAAGGAAGGAGCAGTGGTCACTTGAGTAGCATCAGTAAACTTTGATTTGGAGAGTGCATTGGCTATCACTGGCGCCTGTGCTCGCTTTGCAAGCATCAGAGCATGGCTCATATACCCTTCCACACTTTTCCATTTGGAAAAGTGCTCTTTATATGCAGTGCAGCCCTGCATGTGCGAATCAAACTTGAATCATAACAACACGGAGCAAGATTTTTTTTTTACTGGCATCACTTTTAAAGAAGTGAAATCCAAACTTCTGAAGCAATAGAAGAGTGCCGCTGCCAATGCGAATCTCGCCTTATTTTTCTTATTTTTGGTTCGTAGGAAGTGGGAGGGCACATCCACGCATGTCGTGAAGTACAGTGCATGTGCCCATGGTAGAAAGATAGGCGGCAACGCCGGCTCGAAGGGCGCAGGCCCGCCTGCCCGCCTAGCGGACACCCGTGTGCATTAACGAGTGCTCGCTCCTGCCTCCCAATCGCCGGGGTAGCCGGCGCTTCGTGCTTCAACAGAGGCAGAACAACCACAGAAAAGGATGTTCGTGCCAAAATGACAAAATCCTGAGCGAAATTCCTATGTTGGCAATGGGAAAATTTGTTATATCAAGAGTGTCTCCCCCGGCCACTTCATTGCGCAAAGGTTGTAAGTACATGTGCTTCTATGGAATAATGACAGAGAATAGAAACCCTTCATATCAAGGAATTAGTTGTATGGAGATTTGTTATAGGCATGTTTAATTGTATTCCTCATTAAAAGAGCCAGTGTTGTCTCATTTCTTCCTTTCTGCATTGATTTTTCCTTCATTGTAGTACGCAAAAAGCTTACACAATTTGAAAGTATTGCTCATTGCCTAGTTCTTAGCTTCCTTGTGCTCCTTCTTACAAAAAGGTCTAATAGGTCAAGCGTAGCAGATGCAACAAAAGGAACTGCAAAACCCCTGGAAAGAACTTAGCAGAGACCTGGAAAACGATTTTAACTAAAAAAAAAAAAGGTACATGCTTTTTAGTTAGATTTAAAATTGTTTCCCAGTTTACAGACCCAACCAGAAAGACATCTGTCGAATGTTTACATTGCAGAGACCTTGCACTGACAATTTTACTTCTGCAGGACAAGTTTGTTTCATCTACAAGTGAATCAATCATCACTCACAGAAAACCATGCGGTCAAACATGTAGGCATCTGAGATTCCAACTTTGACAGGGTGGCTCCGGTCAGGAATTTCGGTCACAGCCATTGGCAGCTGAAAAAAAAAAATACATAAGCAGCATCACCATATGAAACTGAACTAATTTGTGATTCTTGTGTCCACACGCCTTTGTGGACAGTTCATTTTATGGTCGAATCAAAGCACAGCCAGAGTGATGGCGCAAAAGAAAAATTTAATTTACCCCAGATCACTGCCCCGTTTGACTGCAGAATTCACAAACATATTTACAGTAAAAGCTTGTTAATTCGACACCCGTTAATTCGGAAATTCGGATAATTCGGACGGCTCTATTGGTCCCGGCCAAGGTGCATGTTAATCTATAGGACCAAACCTTCCTTATTTCGTCGGAACTCGGCTCCGCACTGCTTATTTCGGACAAATGCTGACAGCTGCTGCTACACAAAGGTGTGATAAAGCGGCGCTGGCACCACTGGAGTGAAACCTAAACCTGAGTGGCATCGCCATCGTCATCAACTAGTGGGGGCGATCGCAGCGTCACCGAACGTCAGCGTCTTCTTTCTTCTCCACTCAGCGCCTCCGACGCCATTTTCCCTTGTGTTGTCGTCTCGGAACCATCTCTTCTTGCGGAGTTCTCTTTTTCTTCCATTGTGACCGTATTCGCATGCCACCACCATCGTGCGCTACAGTGATGGCAACGCCGAAAAAGCGGTAGAACTACGACGCGAAGAACTTGGAGACTAAAGTGGAAACTTTGGAAGCACTGAAGAACGGCAAATCGCGACAGCAGGTTATGATCAAGTACAACGTGAAGCGGAGCACGTTGGGAACGTACGTGAAAAATGAACAACAGATTCAACAAGCCTTCGAAAGCGAGAAGTTTCATGCCTCTAGAAAGCGGTTGCGAACCGCAGCTCATCCCCAGCTCGAAGAAGCTTTGCTCCGGTGAATTACTGACTGTCGCAACGCATATCTGCCTTTGAGCGGACTTCTCATCATGGCGCAAGGTGAGAAGTACACTGCAATGATGAACATTGAATCGTTCAAAGCGTCAGAAGGGTGGTTTGCGAGGTTTCGAGAGAGACACGAACTTGTCTTCAGGAGTGTGTGCGGCGAAAAGGCCAGTGTTGACGAAAGCGTGACCACCGAGTGGAGAAATGTGAAGCTGCTGGAGCACATCGCCGCATATGAACCACATGACGTGTTCAGCGCAGATGAAACTGCTCTATTTTTCAGAGCTCTGCCCGACAAGATGGTTACTTTCAAAGGGGACGCGTGCATTGGTGGCAAGAAGTGCAAGCAAAGGATAACTGCGCTTCTTGCCACCAATATGACTGGCACGGAGCGCTTGCCACTACTTGTCGTCGGGAAGGCGCTTAAGCCACGTTGTTTTAAGAATGTCAAAAGCCTTCTTGTCGAGTACACAGTGAACAGGAAGGCATGAATGACATCGGACATTTTTCGCGGCTGGCTGCAGCAGTTGGACTGGCACTTCACGTCGAAGGACCGCAAGATAATTATGGTTGTTGACAACTGCAGTGCCCATAACTGTACAGTCGAACTGAAGAGCATCAAAGTAGTTTTTTTGCCGCCCAACACTACGTCTGCTCTTCAGCCGATGGACCAGGGTATCATTCACTACGTGAAGTCGAAGTACCGCAAGCACCTGCTAGAGTGAATGATCTTATGCTCAGAAGCTGGAAAGTTATATCAAGTGGACTTACTCGGCGCAGTGCACATCATCGCCCACGTGTGGAAAAACACTCTGCCGCAAATCATCGCCAACTGTTTTCGGCACAGCGATTTTGTGAGGCCCGAGCATGCAGCAGTAGCTGACGATGGCATCGAGGAGGTGTCAGCCGAGTCCACCGACGATGACTGCCCGACTTTCTATGCTGTCCTTCCCACAGATGTGACCTTTCAGGACTACATCGCGATTGATCATGGTGTCGCCACGAGTGGTCTCCTGACCGATCAAGAGATTATTAATGATGTCACGGGCGCCCATGAAGACCACGATTCCGACGAAGAATCATGCGAGGAGATACAGCCGCGACCTCATCGCACCTCACAGGAAGTGTCGGAGGCGCTGTTAATATTATAGGACGCTTGCCTGAACACTCCCGACAGCTTGCGTGCTGTTGGCCATTTGGAACAGTTAAGAAAAATTGTGATGTCAGCCGGAATCTGCGCGAAAACACAGACGGCAATTACAAAATACTTCAACAAATAAAGGTATGCTTCTGCAGCTTGATTTTAAATGTTGTTTTCCCTGTTCATTCGTTAATTCGACATTCGGTTAATTCGGACAGTTTTTCCGGTCCCATGAAATCCGAATTAACGAGCTTTTACTGTATTTTTGAAAATCTCTGTTAAATTCGTTTGCGTCTGTCTTTGAGCATTATTGACATTGTTCAACGTTATTATCATCGGCACCAATGAAAGGGCGAATGACACCAAAAGCCTTCATCACATTTAGTGCAGAAGGTACCACCGATGCGTTTTGCACGTCACTCTCCTTTTCCCACGATGTGGCATCAGGGCGATCCTCTTCAGTTATTGCCTCGTCAGTTTGCTCTACATGAGCTTACTCCCCTGCTTGCCACATCATGAGCTACACCGTCCGCATCAACGGCAATGTATTTGTTGGTGCTCACATCCGCTGGCACATTTTTGGTGTTCTGAAGGGATGGCTATGTCGTAGAAACGAAGGCTTTGCTGCCACGATGACACAGAGTGACACGTACACGAGCGCACAAGCACAAATGACTGGCTTCAGCGTGTAACTCCGGCACTTCTACAAGCGCTTCGGTTGCTTTGGTGGACAGTGCGATCATGTGATCTAGAATGCTTCAGGATCACTCTGTCGCTCTACCAAGCCTGATGCAGTGGTTTCAGCTTAGCAAAGAGGGCCTGTGCCTAGTCACAAGGTAGCCAGCCACACTGTCATCGCCACCACACAATGGCACTCTCCTGTGAGTTTCTTGACAAATGGTCCAATAGGTGCACGTTTTTGGGGAAACAAAGCATTATGAACATACAAAAAGTTAGAATGTTTGACGATCTGCTTACTTCCTCATAAAATAAGTTTACAAATGAAGCTCCACACTGAGTGAAAGTTTTGCTGGAGCAAAGCTCGCAAAATTGTTCATTGTGCAGAGAACTTTGATGTAACAAATTCAATGGCAAGCTGATGGGAAATAAGCTCTAAAGTTCGTTGAAGCAAGAATTTCCTTGAAATCGGGTTCAAGTGCACATTTGAACTACAGAAAAAAAAAAACACACAGATATAAAAAACTGAATTCGAGCCCTGTAGCTACTTCTCTCAGTATACCATGAAAAACTATGCATAATTCAAGAAAAACATCGATAACAATTTTTTAGAATATTTTATTTGAACTTATTAGTTTTTTGTGCATGAAACTGTAAGCAAAAAGAAAGAAGAGCATTGGAACAACTTTAGAACCCCAATGAGCTTATTTTAGAAACCCTTAGAGCGGCCCCGCAACACCTTTCTAAGCTATCATCCAATCACCTACACTATAGAAACTTGTTGCCCCTCAAACCAACTGCTGCAAATATTTTACAATCAGCCATGTGCAAGAGGAATAGCAGATTTTTGTTGCAAATGAGTTCTGCGAAAATATGCAAGGTGGCAGAAGAAAAGATAGGGAAAAATGACAACCACTCCGTTTGTAGCACGAAGCCACAAGGAAATCCGTACGGATTTTCCAGAAAGAAATTTCCTTGCGGCTTCGTGGTACAAACTGGTGGTTGTCTTCTTTCCCTTTCTTAGATTTTCGTTGCACGCTCAAAGAGCTACCTGCATCCTTTTCTCCCAGCGAGCAAGCTGAAAGCTGCACAGAGGGATGACAAAAGGACAAGAACCAATGTACACACGACAGCATGCGTCACGACCTTGAAATCTTTCTTTGAACGCACAATTCGCTTTCCGTGCGATCATGGGTGTAATAGTGATCACGACGGGTTTTTAAGGTAGTTCTGACATAACATAGTACAGTGCAGGCAAGTTGTGGCACATGGCCATAGCCTACACTAACTACACAGCTCATGATGCTCAAATTGTGCAATGGCTGTCCCCATTCTGTTTTGGGTATCTCACACAAATGATTTTCGGTAAACAGCATCTCAAGAAGAATGAATGATTTCTAGCTCATTTTGAAATTGAATTTCCGACTACATACCACATGCTGTACTATTCTGTTTTGGGTATCTCACACAAATGATTTTCGGTATACAGCATCTCAAGAAGAATGAATGATTTCTAGCTCATTTCGAAATTGAATTTCCAACTACATATCACATGCTGTACTATAACGTTTGGCTCACATGTTCACAGAGCCCTCGACTACTTCTCAGCAGCATTTTCTGATAACTATTCAAACACTTTTGTGCGGCTTCATTAAGAAACCCCCACGGACACATCTTTGTTGCCGAAATATAGAAAATACACATATAGTGAAACCACGTTAATACGTAGCTGCCAGGGACGACGGCGCAACTACGCTCTAAACATACTACGCATTAACCCCCAGCCACAAATTTGCATCTCCTGACATGCGCCATCACCGCCAACAAAGGAAGAAACTCAGTGCCACTGGAAATATTGCCTGAAATGCCCACTGCAAAGCCATTTCTTTCCTTTTGCCAAAGTACAGAAAAGTTTCTGACTCTCGTACAACCGTCCATTAGCACACGGTGGCGATGCCGATTAGCATTTGGAAACTGCCGCGGGATCCCGGATATGCATCGTGGTACACCGACAAAACGGACACAATCGGCTGTCCGTGATACAGTTGTTCCGCGGAATGCTTTTTAGCGAAAACTGATGCAGTTTTTTTTTTTAAAACGGGTTGCTTTTTTAAACGGCTAGTTGCATGCAGTGCTTCGCTCACTTTGTGCAGACCGTGAATGCCGATCCGCTTGCTGTAAAGTACACCCTCTCCGCTTCAGGCTATGCACAGATTCGGTGAGGAGCCTGCTGGGTTAACCTGGCAACTAAGAGTTTTCCACAAGCAATGCGCTCTCCGTGATGCTCCAGCAGTCCTGGCAAT